AAAGAGTTCTAAGAGCATTATTAGGCTGATGTGCTTTGCGTATGAGTGTTTGGACAATGTTTATGTGGTTATTCTTAAATCTGGTCTCCACGTACCGGTGTTCACTGATGAAGATGAGCCAAAGAGTCTTTCTTTGCAAAGACAGAAGCTTTGCAAAATGATATGTTCTTAAATTAACTTTGTGTGTGTGGTATCGCTGTAGGAGCGACAGGAGGCAGAGAAAATGTTCAAGGGCAAACGGGGTGCACAGCTTGCAAAGGATATTGCCAGGAGAACAAAAACGTAAGATTAAAAAAAACAATTTACACTGGCATTCTCCTTCAGAAACACCACTTTGTTTGATGTGTGCGGCATTAGGCCGCGTTAGGCATTAAACTGAGATATCAGTTATTGACCGGATGTCTTAACAACTTTGGTAGCCAGAAATGTCTGGTCTAGGCATTCTAGTTTTTGGATGGTGGTGAATATATCTCAGAAATCTTTCTGAAAGTCATATTCAGTCAGGGTGGATTGATTTAAATCAGCAAGCAGGAGCCCTTAACTTCACTAATTGTTTCTTGTCTCTGTTATTTTACTGAAGAGAGGTGGCCATTGTGTGTTTTTTCTAATTGACTGGTAACTAAAAATGTTTTGCTTTGCCTTGGAATATAACCCTTACAATATATCTGCTTTAACTAGGAGGATGCAACGCAGATGAAAACCTTTAGTTAAGCCATTACAAACATACGCTTATTCAGTTTAATTTTTCATTATAAAATGGTACCTCATGCGTTTTGTTTAATCTTTCCTCAAGCTGTTTGGAAACCCGAATTCAGTTCACGCCTGACAGCAGCATTTGCAAATTCACAGTTAAATGAAAATCTTGAACGTATTTATCACTTAAACTACAGCAGATGGAACTCTTCCTCTACTTTGTGAGTAGAAGGGGGTCCAGATCTATGAGGGTTTTAGACCACATAGATTGTTGCACTGAAATAGATCAATAAATGGATATGAAGAAAATCTTTTCTAGCTGCAAAAGAGATGGCAGCTGTCTCAGGCTGGGTCAGTGTTTCAGGAAACTCTTCCCAGCCAATTAGTCAGGAACTTTCATTTCACACGTGATCCTTTTTTCCTTAGAACAGCAGCAGATAACCTTTTTAACTTAAATGTTTAGAGTAGGCTTTAATACAGGCTGCCATAATATCAAATCTAAGAACGGAAAATCCAGTTTTGGTTCATCTGTTTTTATTCACCCTGCTTTTGTAACAATGACCGACAACCTGAGTGTTCAGCAACATCCAAACTGAGTGGCTTCTGTCAACTGCTTAATTCATAAAGTTACGGTCTGCCTCTCTTTATGAGCAGATGAAAAGATGGGGGGGATGGGACAGCGAGGATGAGTTGCTGGTGTTTCTGAAGGAGGCAGTTCTTCACTGTATCAGTTTGTTAACAAAGATAAGATACTACACTTGATTGAATGAAAAACTTCCAAACTAAGTTTGGAAGTTGGAGAAGCACATACCCTTCAAAGGGTGTAACAATATGCCTTTACTTTGAAGCTTTAATCCAGGTGCTGGTCTGCCAACTGACAAGAAGAAAGCTGGGCCCTCCCCCGGGGATGTTGAGGCAATTAAGGTAATACATTAGGACATCATATACAGACAGAAGCGGAGGAGAAAAACTGTTGTGGAACCTGACTTAACAAATATTTTCCTCTTCCTGGCAACTCCTGACTCTGTTCAAACTAACAGAACAATACGCTCTAGACGCTGGTTTTGTCATTTTTTTTGCTCTTGTGCCATGTCTGTTTCTTAAGAAATTAGTGACGTTTTATTCTGAGGTTAAGAGGAGTTACCTCAGGATAGATCAGCCTGTTTAATAAGGGGCGAAGTAACCTTGTGCTCTGTCATTCATATAACTTGTACAGTATAAAAGCTTAGCTTAACTTAACTGAAAATCTTGTTGTTATATTTATTCTAAACAGATCATTGGCATATCGCATGGGAAGACTGATCATGTTCTTTTGCCTGTTTTTTAGACTGCTATAGCGAATGCTACAACTTTGGCTGAAGTGGAGAGACTGAAAGGCTTACTACAGTCCGGTCAGATACCTGGCAGAGAACGAAAATCAGGTCACATTATACTTCTATTACTTCTGTTTTCCAAATAGCACCTACATCTCTTAACAGCTTCCTGATGCTTTATGTGATCTCAGTAGTGAGTTAAGCTGGAAAGGCCAGACAGTTTGGGAGGCTGATAAAAACTGTTTCAAATTAGTTTAATTTAGGGTCGGAATGACTAAGCATCACATCTTTAAGACTCTCTAATTGGCACGTTAGGGGTCTGGCCTCCAGAGTGTGATTCAAGCCGGTAGGGTTTGAATATCCTCAGCTCTCATTTCGGCTCCTAGCATTTTAATTTAACTAGGTGACCCTTTAGCGTAAATACGTAGATAGCCAAAGAAGCAGAACTGAACCCAGGGCTCCGCGTTGAGAGAGCCCCAAGGAGCTCGTGCTCCTTTCTGACCAAGGACAAAGTCAAATCTCGGGACTCAGAAACAGCGTTTTGGGGTGACGGAAAGTACTCGAATGATTACTGCTCCTCTTCAGAGGTGAGAATTAGTATCACTCGTGTGGAAAAATTGACCTGTGGAGTAAAGACGCTGATGTGTCATCTTCTAGGCCCTTCGGAGGATGGGGAAGAGGAAATGGAAGAAGACCCCGTTCCCAACGGATCTTGAGCGCTGCACGACACGCCGGGAGGCAGCACGACGCGCCGCCCTTTGCCCGCGCAACCCTCGGTAGTCGCCTAGCCTCTCTGCTCTCACAGGGGCCTCCTTGATGACGCTCAGTCCCGGAGGCGCCGCGGGTTGTTTCCAAACGGCCGTTTTGTACCTTTTTTTCGCTGTACATTTCCAAGCTGA